TAGTTAGGTGACTATTCCTTATTAGGGTTAGAATTTCACAAGGTATGTTGAGGCAATCAGTTAGCAGATTCGAGCCACCAAAAATATAAAAGCTCCACTCCCATATCAGCTATCAGCAAACAAGTGAGATGCAAGGGACAACAGAAGAGGTATGAGAGGTATGAGAAAAGATACTTTCAGTGATGGTTTGCCGTTTTAAATTAATTCTTAGCAAGCGGCAGCTTAAAGAAGGGATTTATCAGGTAGTTGCTCTAGTTGTACCTTAAATCAGCTATGGTAAGATATGCACTTAAAATTAAGATCCATCCTTTTCAAAATATAAGGACTAACACTTCAATTTATCATCATTCTTCTTCAAAGGAGAGACTAATCACACTCCTGTGTCTTGCCTAAGTTTTGTTCCCTCCACCCACCAGAAGTTTAAACATTTGAGAATTTATTCCTATTTTAGCTGCAATCACCACTTTCACACAGAACTGTACTTGCCTCAGACACCAGACACTTCAGATAGTAAAAGTTATAGTACTCATTTATCACAACACAGCTTACTTTCATGGAAAAAAAAAAAAAAAAAGACATCCAAATGTGTTTTCCAGTCTCTGATACCTCCCATCATGCTATTTCCTCTTCTGCTTGCCTCTTATTTAGTACCTTTAACTTTTACCAGAACAGTATCTTTTGTGCCTCCTCGAGTCTCCACTGTGACTGGAGGTTCTACCACGCACCCCTGAGCTAGCATAATGACCAGGAAAGAGGCATGATGAAAGTCCCCCTGCTCAAGTAACTTCAGCCTCAGTATCTTCCCTCCTCACAGCCTCTTCTGTTCACAGGACAAGAGAAAGCAAGTTCCAGCAAAAAAAGGAAGGAACAAAGTGCCCTTCTTTTTAAGGGAAAAGTATAATGCAAGGTTTAATTGCTGAAACCTAACAAACATTCTAATTCAGGGAAAATTTGCATAAATTAATAATTCCAAGATAAAAATTGTAGCGTTTTCACTTCTCCCAACAAATAAAAACAGCAATGGAAACTGCACTCCCTCTCCACACTGCCACAAAGACTCTCACAACCTCTTAACTTGTGAAGCTCTCTAGTTTCTGCACATCTGATGTTTCTCAAGCACCTTCTCAGTTATATAGTTAGCAAGTACTCTAGAAGCATTCTAGTAGAAGTACACTACCGACTATTTCAAATATACAAATATATTTTGAACAGATTTTTCTCCTCATGAGAAGTGAAAAGGGACAGAAGGATAGTTTTGTTTTCATAGCAGCTCACTCCTTACCACTCCTACAGGGGTGCCAAGAAACATTAAATAAAGATCACTTGCAGCTTCCGAATTTGAGATGTGGAACTCATTTTAGGCAAGCTATAGAAACAAAAGATACCTGGTTTGAGTCAGTGGTGATTAACAGTGGAGCATGGACAATTTACTATTTAGAAAGCAAGATATGAGAAGCCCTACATTCCTGGTGACAAAGCCTAAATGTCATCCAGCTGCTGAAGATTTAAGGATACTGACATTTCTGTCTCCTATTCCATTTCTCCTTGGTGCTCCATACCAAGAAATAAAATTAACAGAGGCCTACTTATAATATGCTGAATAACTGAAAAAAAAACCCAAACAAACCCAAACCAAACCCACCCTTCCTTCTCACATTTCTGTCTCTACCCCAAGCCCCTCTAATGTCTATCAAGAAGAAAACCCAAAACACATCAACACCCTATTGTAACTCAGTATTGCAGGAACTTGAGAGAGTTTCAAGAGGACTTCAAAGAAGTATAAATTCCCCTAACCATTTCTCACCTTTTCATCTGGCTCATCCTCTTCAGTGTCTCTATAAATTTGTTAAGAAGTAGCAGAATACAATTTATATTTTGGGCTATTACCCTTCTTACAATAAATCAGTTTCAGAAGTACTGTCAAGATCAGCAAGTTCTCAGCTTGCCATATCTTGGAGGAGTCATAAACAAAGAAATAACACCTATATATATAGCAAGTGAAAAATGTTACAACCACCCCCACATATCTTTCCTTTATGTTTCTCTTTCTCACACTTGGTATCTTAAAGCGCCCTCTCTTTTGTGCCACCAGTCTTCAAAACAAATCAACACAGTACTCTTACGTGTTTGGAGAGAAAAAGTATTATTGAATAGTGCAAAACATTAAAAACCCCTGTGCTTCCACAACACTCCTAAAGCACAACAAGCCACGTCACTCTTGCCTTTACAACTGTGAGATTCTCTACTGTCAATGGGATTACTCAGATAAATGAAGTGGGCAAATCTGAAAACTGAGCCCCAGGCTTGAAGCTGATGTGAGGTTTTTTTCACAGCTGTATCCAAGGCTATCATTGTATTACAGACCTTCACCAGATAAGCAGTAACAAATACATGTACTATGAGAACAGTGTAAGAAGAACAAGAGAAAAAGCATCACTATATTAAAAAAAAACAACTAAAACCAAAAACACCACAGAATTTTCCAAGAAGCTTTGAAATATGGCATTTTCAACTGCCAGCTTATTTCTAGACATGAATATTTTAAACCAGTAACAAATAAGTTCCCAACTGTGCTCAAATACAGCTGGCAACCCACAGACATATGGCTGTTTCTCACAGCACTAGTCTTCAGTATTTGTATGTAACCAGCTAGGGTTTGCAGTGTAACAATAGTGTAAGGAATACTGCCCATACAAACTTACCTATTCTACACTTGCTTTACCAATGACAGATTTTACAAGCCCATGTACTCTAATATTCCACAAGTACATTAGGAAAAATTTATGACATCCATCAATGAAAATAGTTGAAAAAAACCAAAGTTCTGAAGTTATTATCCAACAAAAGAATGTGCTTTCAGGATTTCTGTAGAATCCATTATCTTCATTTTAATGATTTCAGTAAGTTTTAAAAACATCATGAACCCAGATTTTATTGTATTGACAAACTTGGAAAATCACTTTTCAGTTTTTCTGAAAACAAGCCGTAACTCCATACTGTATGGTTTCTGAACATACATTCTCTAAATTCCTAGAAGATACAATGGAATCTAGAGCAAAGTCATCCCAGGACTTTCATGCATTTCTTACTCACTTTTCCAAACCAGGTCACCAATATAAATACACTGTAAATATGGATATTGTAAATACAAATACTGTAAGCTGCACATAAATGGGACTGTCAGCCTCAGTTCTGCGCAGGTAAATTAGCTTTACAGTCGAGCGATGTACACTAAAGCATGGATTCTCCTAGGCACCTAGGGCAAAATCCCTCGATTTGTCTTGCATGACTGACACAGGTTAACAATTATTTCAAACATGACTCTTTCTGAAAAAAAGGTCTTTACTTCCTTAGTTCTTTTACGCATTATTTAAAGTCTGGGGGCTTGATTTCTCTTTCACCTTTAATCAAGATATTAATGAAACAATATTTATCCTATAGGATGGCAAACATGCAAGTGTTACTCAGCTGTCTATTCTGTTAATTAATGAAAACTCAAATTTTACCACCAAATGTGCATAGTGTTGAACTTCTTGAAGGCTACAAAATGTGTAGAAACAAGATTTTAAATTAGTGAAATTTTGAGGTGATATTATAATGACTATTATACCATCTTGTATTCTGCTTTGCAAACACATTAAAAGTCTAAAACGAAACAAAACTTCAAATCTGCTATATCTAGAGACAGTAAAAACAGGAAATGTTGTTTACAGTTAAAAAAACCCAACAAAACTCAATCATCTGAGAAAGCCAGGTGTAATAAATAAGTGTCCTGTACACTTTATCACCTCACTAATATTTACAAGTTGCTTAACATGTTTTCAAGTATGAAAGAATTTACGTATTAAGTTTGCCATTACTGGAATTTGCTGTTACAGCAACTAGGACGGAGAAGTAGGCCCGACACAGCGTATGATAATTGTCAAAACCTTCCTTATAACTTACAGCCAGCAAGCTTCATTGCAGCTACCTTTTCTAATTTCACCAGAGAAATATAAACCAAGGCCTTCATTTATAATTCAGTGCAGATTGTTCCATAAATTTATAATGCCTTTTAAAAGTTTTTGATAATTAGAACTTACTGTTTTCAATAGTAACGTTGCATTTCATAACACACAAACATTTCTGGGGTGTAATTACTCTTCAGGACCACTTTGAGCAAAACAGACGTTTTACGGTAGGTATGTTTGGCATCTATCATCCAGCTTTTTAAACAGCCACTGAAGCCTACCCTAATAGCCAGGATCCCTGCCCAGCGGTAAGTCCTGCCCTAGTGACTCCTAGGCGAGCAGCCTTTGAGCCGGTACCACACCTCGCTCACCGAAGCACTTTTCAAAGGAAACTTGCCGATTTACAGCGCTCAGACCTGCAAAGGGCAACAAACACCCCGGGCTGCGGCTGGCGGGGGGATGAGAGGGTTTGGGCTTGCTGAGGCCTAGCGAGCACACGAGGCCTCCCGCGGCACCAGCTCCTTCTCCGCCAGCAGCACACACCTCTCCTGACGGCCGGGACAGGACGGCCACAGGGCAGGCGGGCCCCGAGGCAGGGGGGAGCCCACTGGGGAGGGACAGGCGTCCAGGATGCTCTGCCGGCCAGGAAGGAGGCGGCCGCGCTCCTCGGCGCCCGGGGGAGAGGGGTAGCGAAGAGCTAGTGCCTCGGGTTTCAGAGGGACTCGCAAACTTCAGTACCTGTCGGGAACACCACAAACCCAGCGACCCCCGTCGCCTCCGGAAAGAGCTCTACAGGTGTCCGTCCCCCCCACAAACAACTCACGCAGCGGTCTTAGCAACAGGCTGTACTGATGCCGACGGGAAGGGGGCCACGGTTGCACGCAGGGACTTCTGCTTCCCCCCCACCCCGTCGCGACAGGGGAACCCTCCGGCGAACCCCACACTCCCCAACCTGTCCCGCCGCGGCGGAGCTGCCTCAACGGCGAGGGCCCCGGCAGCGCTGCGCTGAGCCCGTTCCGGGCCTCACCACCTCCCTGCCCGCGCACCCACCTGTCCCGGGGGTCGATCCAGCTGGTCTGTTTGGTGTTGTGGTCGATATAGAAGACTTTGCCGTCGTAATCCCTCGCCTCCTCCCAGCCATCGGGTAAGGGGAGCTGCCCATTCCCAGCTTTCCTAGGCATGATCGGGCGGCGGGGGTAGCTGCTCCATAGGGACAGAAAGAAAGACGGGAAGCGGGAAAAGCCCCCACCGAGCCGGGTGGACGGGGAAAGGGCCGGGAGTCTGCGGGGCACGTAGCGGGCCGCTCACGGAAGCCCAGAAAAGTCCTCCTCAGCGGCCGGGTCTCAGTCCACCATGCCGGGGCTGCCGCCCTGCCCGCGCCGCGGCAGCCCGGGTCAGGGTTGCCGGCGGAGCACAGCTGCCGTCTGGGCGCTGGGAGCCCGGCTGAGCCCCAGGCGGCTGCGGCCGCCGCTCATTAGCATGAGATTAGCATCCATCTCATCTGCATGCACATTCCTCCCGCCTCATTCCTTAGGGTTAACCCTGCCGGCGCTGCCCGCCGCCGCGCTGGATAGGCCCCAGTCGTGGATCCGGGACGTAAAGCGTCCCGCGGGCGAGCGCGTAGGGGAGACCGGAGGACAATGGGCAGGGAAAGGGGGGGGAGAGGTAGCAGGGGGTGCCCTTCTGCTTCCAAACAAGCTGTGTCCGCGACGCGCAGGGGCTGGTGCAGTTTGGGGATTAGAAGGCGAACACCTGAGGGGGGCAGGCTCAAACGGCCCGTGCCCTCAGTTTAAGCAGCCTGCGGGGTAAGCGGCGCGGAAGGGTTGGAGTGAGGTGAGGGAAGGAGCGACCCGGAGTGAGGGTTGCCGCCTGGCTCCCCGGTCCGCCCTTTGTCTGCGGACCTGTTGCTGGACCTGCAGCAGGTGGCTGTATGGGCACGGGGATATGCCGGCTCTGCGAGCACGGGGAAGGTGCCCTGGGAAAAGGCAGTTTCCCACTGCCTGCCTTCCCTCACTCAGTCGAGGAGGTGTCGAGAGTCCTTTCCCTTTCCTTCAGGTCCCACTCACCTCGCTTCACATCCTCATGAACTGTCGCTAAGGTCCAGTAAGGCTCGAAAGTACCTAAAAGGACCTTGACATTTAAAATACCGGAATTCAAAATTTAAATAAAAAGACAATTATTTTAAGTCAGTTAACTTACAGTTAAGTCAGTAAACCTACAGATTTTATTTAATTATTTACTTTTTAACAGACACACCAGTGGTGAACGTGCATACACCATTTGTGGCCTGAACTGTTGTGGCCTAAAAAGCAGGTAGCCAAGTTGCATGAGATACAGGAACGAGGAGTGAATTACTGGGCGTTTATCTCATCTTTGCTACAAGAGAAGCTACTTCAGGTTGGTTACCATGGTTTAGCTGATAGAAGGTAATTTAATGAGTTCTATTAATTTGCATGTGTATCTGATTTCCAAGATTTGGCACCAGAAGTAGAGCACCTATGAGGGAATATGACTTTGGTTTAGCGGCTAGGAATCTGAGGTAATCCAAATTTTAGTCCCTGTTTATTTCTTTTCACTTAAAGTTACTGGTTTAAAGTAACAAAATCTTCCTGGGAGAGGAAGCCTGGGACCCAGAGCTGTTATTTTTCTTTTATTAATTTATTTATTTTAATCTGTTTATCTACTCTGTTCTAGCTGTCTTTAGCATTCAGCTCCGAGTTACTCGTCTTAGGCAATTTACCCTTATTACTAGACTTGTTTAATGCATAGCAAGTTTTTGTATCGCACATATTTGACAGGCATTGTAGTAAGTAATTTACAGGTGTCTAAGTCCCTCTGTTGGATCTGCTCCTAAACAGAAAAAATTACCAGCAAGGTATGATTTTAATTTAGTTATTTTCACAGTCCGGTAGAACTAATACCTTTATTATTTTTGTCATTTTACTTATTTTTCAACATTGTCTCTACAAATAGCTCATATGCCTCCCCAGAATACCTGTATGTTGAGCTCCAGACTGTCTTGAAGATTTTATTTTCACATCTGTTGTTTTGAGGGAGTGTGCAGTGAAGCTACATTAATGAAGTAAGGCTCTACTAGTTAACAGTGGACAAAAAACTGAGTTGTCCTAACTTTGGGTTTCTGTAAGAGTCCAGCTGCTTAGGGAAAGCAACAGTCATTACCTATTAAAGTGACAGACTCATTTATTTTCACTGAGAATATTAAGTTTCAATGAGGTGGTTGGTTTATAAAGTCCAGTCTTACTTTCCGTCTGTGTAAAAAAAACACTTTCACTGTGCATTTACATTTTTGTCCTTTTAAATAGTCTTCTGAGTTTTATAAACTGGTTTATAGGTGACATCTTACAGTGCAAAAGTACATGTGGCAGTTGTGGGACAGGATAAACTAGATTTCCCTTTTTCAGCTCAGTTTGCATTATCAGTAAGACATTTTGTTATATAAGTTGATAAAAAACCCTATAGAGGATATAGTTACTTCTCTTTGGCATTAACAAGGAGCTTTTATAAATAATACAGCCTTTTCATCCTAAAAAAGCAGGCCTGTGATACAGCAGCACTCCTATACTCCTATTCTCTAAATAATCCACACAAAAGAAAGCATGAGATTAGAAAATCTGCAATACCAAGACAAAACTGAAAACTTGTTTATGTCAATGCTTACCCTGAAGCTGATACCTAATTCCTGTTCTGTGTCACCACCAAGGCACCAAAGAATCACATCTTTGATTATTGGTCAGAGGAGATCCACATGGATGGGGATGTGGATCTGCTCTATAACCATCTTTACCAGGGTAAAATGTATCAGAAAACATCAATGTTTTCAGTTGCATAAATAAATGGAAATTGCAGTTCTTAATTTTGAAAATAAGTATACTAAGATCATTGTATAATTGTCTAATTTCTATGTATATGCTTGTTCATGAATATACAGATGTGCTTATACATAAATATAAGCTGTTGCATGGTAAGCATTAGGCTCTCCCTCCCTTCATTTTCCGTTGTTCGAGTACTTCACTGTGTTTGTCTTTATAGTTGGGGTCTCCAGTCTGGAATGCCAGTTTAGGACTGCTTAGAAATGGCATATTGGAAGTCTGACAAAAAAGTAAGTAATATTTGTGTGAATAAATGCCAGACCTTTAGTATCACCAGTGAGAATATGAGAATATTTAGCTTTTTGAAGGATTGATATTGTATGAAAGAGAATCCAATTATCCTATCACTTTTTGCTCTTTGAAACTTGGAAAAGAGCACATTTGGCAGAAGATAGTTTCTTTCATTATCCTTTAATATGTTTTCCTATGTGTAATATAGGAAAACAGAACAGATGTTCATGATGATTCTTTTTAGCTTAAAATATGCTACAAATTCTAACTAAAAGTAGTTTTTCAAGTATACCTCCCAAATCTCAGATGGTAACCTGCCTAGCATATTGTACTGACATTGTCAGCTGAAAGCATATCACGGATTATTTGGCTTAATTGCATAAAACAGCATAGTTCAGAATATGTAAGCATTATTTATTCAAAACATAGAAGGTTTCATATGAAGGTGTCCAAAAGCATGAAACAATGTAGCTGTTGCATGACTTAAGTATTAATCAATAAGTACGATAAATAACAAGATATGCTTCATGAAAGGAGCTGATTGTTCCTGTCTTGCTTTGTATGTGCATGTTTAACCAGTCTGGAGAAGTTCATGTTGTAAGTAGTACATAGTTAGAGTTAAAGGGAATTAGAATTGTGACTATTTTATGTCCCTTCTACTTACTGCTGTCAGCTAGAAGAAGAAAAAAATGTCTGTGCAAAAATTCAGAATGCAAGTGTGGAAGTGGCTGAATCCAGAAAAGGGGGCTGCAAAGGCAAATTTTTGTCGCATAATGAGAACCATACTCGTAAGAGTCTGTACTTACCCTAGTTCATCTCCTCATACTATCTGCTTTCATCTTCTTTTATAGTAAATTTGTGATCAAAAAAGGCATGTTTGTACCCTGTCCTTCCATAATAAGAGATTCCCTTAACTCGATCCAATAGAATGGTGTCCCTGAAGAAATTTACAGCTGTTACAGCTCTAACTTGTACTATCTACAAATGGCTCTGAATCAAGAGCCACAGCTGTCTCCTTGAAAATTTACACAGTTCAGTCTCCACTGTTTTCAAACAGAATTTGAGTGCAGAATGAGTTACGAAGTATGGTGACAGAATTAATTCCTAAAAACACCTGACAAAAATGTTTGAAAATATATATTGGTTACACTGAGGTTCTTTTAAGCTCTTAAACCACCAAATACTGGCAACAAGTCTGACTTCCCTCACATATAGCTACTGTAGAACTCTAAAAACAATATTTTCAGCGTTTTATTTATTTACTTAATCACACTGAATTTTATCTGACAGCTATGCTTTCCAAGAAATGAAAGGCACCAAACCCAGGACTCCTTTATGTGGTGAGATTGTTAGTTTTAAAAAGGATCTTAAAAGTTCTGTAAAGAATAACAGCGTACATGCACAAGGGAGGAAAGGAGGAGTGCTGCTGCTACTAATGTCAGCTTCTAATGCATATGTGCATATGAGACTAAAAGATCTTCAATGATATTGTTTCTGGTTGAATTTATGATGTAGTTCTACAGAAGTGATGAAGCCAGATAATGTTTGTGCTCATTCAGCTTTTCTTGTTTCTCCAAAGCCTGCACTTTCCACTTGTAGTCAACTGGACAGTTTGCTGCTAAAATAGGATGTCCTACAAAGACTTCCCAGAGTTTGAGTGGAAAAGACCTTATCAGGTTCTGCTTCAAATGAATATATACTATCTCTTTTTCAGTATTTTGGCCTTATTTTTGCCTTTAGGCACGTACAGGAAAAAGTAATGAGCAATTACACATTTCAAATTCTTGCAGACATAATTCTAATCCTATAAATCTGAAAATAAGCATACAGAACAATTTTAACTGATTGTCAGTCTGATTAAAAGTTTAGGGTAGGTAGAATGGAAATGATGTGGTAAGAGTTTTGCCTCAGACGTAACTATGGAAATGTGAGTAATATTTTCATGGTAAAATCTCAGACTCACCCCAAACCACTCATTAAACTAACTTAGCATTCAGTTCTGTTAACTCTGATTCATACTGCTGATATTTCTGTGGAAAAATGAAAAAGAAGATGGAGAATTTTGGTTGTTCCAATATCATAGTATTGATGAGGTCCAAATTAGCCTCTGAGGCATATTCCCACAGGATTTCTTGATGCAGTCTTGAAATTGTATGTTTTTTTGGTGTTACATCTTCCATAGAAGCAGTCTTGCTATATTGTTTTTAACGTATCTCTGGTACTTGTACACATAGATTTAAGTTGCCTACGTTTCACCATATCTATGGAATTGTAATATCTATTCACTGCTGTCTAATGGCTTTGGGGAACCACAAAAGCATGCCTGGTCAGCCAAAAGGTTCCCAAGAGCACAGGCAGGCTTCTCTTTTGGCCATGAGTAAGACAGAAGTAGGCCAGCAACA